ATTAATGAATAATATGAAATTTATAAATGAAATATAAAATAAATTTAAAAATTAATATGAAATATGAATATATTTATTATATGAATAATGTTGCATTATAATTATCAATAATTTATTATTATAAAATATAATATATAAGAAAATATATAAAAAATTTATTTTAAATATACTTTTTACTGTTTATTGTTATATATTAAATAACATAAACATATTTATATCTCATAAATTTGATGTATAAATGCACTGAAGATGAATGTAATAGGTTATTATGTGGGTTCTGCAAAATAAATTATTATAATTCTGTGTATGATCAATGATCTACATATTAATGAGTATTTAGAAGTATCAGTCTATATATCCATAATGGGCAGTATTTTTGCCCACAGGTAATTGAATATGAATATATACAATCAACGCAATGCCTTCTTACTTTTCCACCGTCCAACAGGGCAGTGAGATTTTGTGGATTTACATGGCCAAGGATACCAAACAATTCAGGTCAGAGTAAATATAAGTCTTGAGTAGTTTAGGGGCCAAACTCTAAATTGATTTTTATTATTATTGATCAAGTTTTGAATGCATAAAGTGATACACAATAACATAAATGTTCAGATGCTAAGCTACTATTAACTTTGATGCTCTAACAAGTATACTTTGTTGTTTAAAGAGGAAATAAATATGAAATTGTATCCATATTGATAAATCATTTATTGTATGTAATAATAATAAATACGCATTTTTTTTTCCCTTTTTGATCTGGGTCTTCCTGTATTTATTGGCTTATGCATTGGTCTCTTTTTTGTGTGTCTGGTATTCATTATTATATTATGATTTATTCATTTTCTTCATATTTTTTCCCATTTTCTTTATCATTATCATATCTAGTTTCTATATGATTTACATGAATTTCTCATATTTATAGTCATTCATTTTTTTCTGATATTATTTTATTACTTTGCTTTTTCTTTATCCTAAATTAGTTTTTTTACTTATAGTGATTGCTCACTCTGTCCTAGTTTAATTTTCTTTTCTTTGCTTTAATTGTGTTTTCATTTAATTTTTAATATTTAATATAACTATGTCAAGTTAATTAATTTAAAAAAGTTCATAAATACAACAGATGATATATCTGAAACGAAATAGTTTCAAGTTTATATCTTCTTTAAAATTCAAGTATAAAGTGTCGAAGTTAATGGGATAAAATAAATAAGAAATTTAATAAATTTTCCACAAATCAAAAATAAGGCGAAAATGAAGAATAATAAAATTGCGTGTAAATTCGTTTTTTAATTATTAAAAATTAAAAATCAATAAAAGTATCTCTTGGAGCATTGCAAATCTTTTTAAATAAATAAATATAGGACAATTAAAACAGAGAGATATGTTTTTTACAATCTTAGTTCAGGATATTTTATAATATATATATATGACACATATATAATTTTGTCATATAGGATTTTGTAACCAATTAAAATAATTTTCACTTTAAAATTGACTTTTGCTAGGTCGAACTTATCATAATATAAATTGTTTTTTTATCAATAATTAAATTTTTTCATATATTATTAAATTATTTTTCATAATTTAATTTTTATCATTTATTTGTATTATATTTCTTTATATTCTGCTATCAAATTTTATTCTTTTTAAAAATTTTATATTGTTTTTGTTATTATTTATAATTATATTATTATGTATGATTATTATAATATTATTTTATCTATCAAATAATAACTTATATCTCATAAATCACATTAAATTTTCAAGAAAGAATAAAATTTAAACTAAAATCACTAATCATTTCATTTTGTTTATGAATATATAATTGTTTATGAATATTTAATTTTGTATATGAATATATTGACTGAA